CCTGCCACTTGCCCGCCAACTGCATTGGCCCGAAGGCTCTTCCCCCTTCACCGCCTTGGCTGTCTGCCCCAAGGGAGGGGGATAACAGCGCGAATAGCGTTTCATTAGCGGCTTCCGTGCACAATTAAAAAGGGAATCCCACTGCAAATACCAACTAAATGTAACCGAAATCTTTGTGGACACAAAAATGCTCAATAAAAACCCAATCGAATTTGAGCAAAACAAACAGAAATAGTTTGAAAAGTTTGAATTTGGGTGTGTATTTGTCGTCAGTCTTGAAACATGGAATATTTATGTACGTCAAAGTGCTAAAATTGGACTGGGAAATCGATAACAACGATAAGTCGATCAATTAAAGCTAAAGTCACCAAATGTTGAGAGTATATTGCTAGTCAAGTTCTGCTTCGGCATGTGTATTAAATGTGAGCTAAAAATAGCCCAATCTGGGGTATAAAAATATACAACAATCCAAAACTTTTTACAAGGTTTAGGGTAACCCAGCAAAACCCAAATCAGACCAACATATGTAAAACAGTATTTGAAAGGTAGATTGTTACTGTTAACATTTTGCAAAGATCGGACCACTCCCACACCCGCCCACAAGGTCTTAGAGCTAGATTAACCAAATATTAAAGGTGTCTTCTAATGATTATTCAGTGTTCGAGGTCATCCGTTCATATGTATAAAATTCAAGTCTTGCAACTCTTGCACCAAGGGCAAATATGCTGTTGTTGAAAATTGGCTTGAATCGAAATGTGTGTTCAAAAATAAACAGGTAACAAGCCGACATAGCAGTTTTACAGTATTAAGATCTTAGTATACCCAAGCAAACTGTAAACAAAGCAACAAACAACAACACGAGAAATGAGCTGCAGACAACTGGATATTCAGACATGGCTTAGTGAGAGCTTGGCAACAGAAATAAGACGGCAATAAAAGGCATACCACACACTTGAACCAAGACAGGAGACACGCTGAGAGAGACAATGTGCAAACTATGCACAGTGTGACATGCCTGTGTATGTAATATATTCAATTTTTAAAAAGGATTTCTCTCTTGGATTTCTCTCTTGGGTTTTTTCAATAACTCTTTCACCCAACTTGAATCTTAAGGTAAGACATGTAGACAATAAGAGCGTTTGCAGCGTTTTACTTCCAATAGTTCGCTTAAATTTTTGTTTTGTTTTTACTTATTATTTATATATTTGAACAAAGTTTGAAATGCATTAAAGAAACCTTAAGAAATATATTCACTTTAATAGTAAATATGATAATAATTTTATTAATTTTTGTATGTGTGATATTCAAACAATTGTTTGGTTGGTTCTGTGGTGTTGGAGTTTTTGGTGGGTGGCTTGTGTGAGCCCAAGCTTAAGACCAGCTGTCTCTGGCGACTTGGACACGTTGTGCAATGAATTGCATTTCTTTTTGTTTCCGCATTCGTAATGAAGACAAGTCCCGAAAAAAGAAAGAGAATAAAAATAAAATAAAATAAAACTAGGAGCTACGACAAGGACACGGCTTAGACAGCGCAACCGGAGCTAAGGTCCAGATCCAGGTCCATGTTTGTTTGTTTGTTTGCAAACTGTCTGTGCCAGCAAACCGGCCAGGCAATCAAATAAGCAACAAAATGAAATGGCTGCAGAAATTGGCAGCCGGCGACGGCATCTTTCGAGACGCCGGCTGCACCTGATATATATATACATATATATATATGATATGTATGATATATGTATATATATATATATGTATGTATAGAGCTAGTTGGTCCAAAGATGCCACAGCGCGGGTGCATTCAGCAGCTGAAGTTTTTCTTGTTCCTTTCTTTCGCCTGTCGCAAGAAATAAAAATATTTACCAATAGACGCAGGCGTTGCTCGAGATGATGCTGACTCAACTATCCCACTCAATCTATATCTACACTTTGTTCTATCTCCTTCGCACTCTTATTAGCTTCTCTCTCGTTCTCGCTCTCGCTCTCGCTCTTGGTCTTGGTCTTGGTCTTGGCTGTTGGTTGTGGGTGTGTGGCAGGCGGCAGCTAACGAGTGGCCTTTGAGCGGCACGTTCGTGTTTAGACTCTTAACACATTTTTCGGTTCGCTTTCGTTTTGACTCAAGTGCAATCAGCAGAAGGAGTCGGACAAAGGACAACAACGGACAGCGGACGGCGGACAGCGTACACCGGACAGTGGCACGTACAACATTGTCTCGCCCAGACAGTTTGCAAACACAAGACACTGAATCCTCTGACCCATACCTCCCCCCACCTACGACCCCCGGTTAGCCCAAAATGCTTTCACTGTTCGTCCTTCCGTTTAGCTCTTCAAGATAAAAACTAGTGGATCAGCAGCACTTAATTACATGAAACGAAAACTGTTAACATTTTGGGTGTGGGTGTGGCTGTGGTTGTGAGTGTGAGTGTGGGGCTTGGATTCGACTTTAACATCTTTCGCTTGATGCCCAACTACATATATCAGGAGGGAGGCGAGAGATGTGGGCTGGGGGCTGGGGGCTGTCCTCTAAGTGGCCGTGCCATTGTTATGGCCTGCCTAGGCTCATAAAAGCATTGAGTGATAGGATGTGACATGATAATCATCGTGAACGCCATCGCAAACTTCTGGCCGAAAAGCCTTTGCTTTCAAGACGCTGCACTCCTCGTCCACTCAGAAGAAATTTCATCATGAATCTAGAATGGTATATTTCTTAAAGATAAATCGTTTATCACATCTAAATTCCAAAACATTTTTTCTTAAATTTAGAATGTAAAATATTCGAACTCCCAAGTTTTTTAATGTGTCCACAAAATTCTTAAACAAGCCTTTTTCTTCAGTATGGATTTTTCTCCGAGTGTATGCGTGACAAAGACTGGAACAGAGAGAGATAGAGTGAGTGAGAGAGTTAAATGCTGGCGCGTGCAGTCATAAAAGTAAACGCTTCCGGGTTTAATGCAGGGGTTGGGTGTTAATTGACCTAATTGTTGCTGGCCGTCATTTGGGGAGCTGTAACCCATACCACCAAGCCCAACCAAAACATAAGCTGGCACAAATATTGCAATATTTATGTGCGAGATGACAGAGTGAAAGAGCGTCGAGGGGAGCTAGCCAAAGTGGTAGGTGGAAGGAGGAGGCGGCAGCAGCAGCAGCCATCCCAAAACCAGCAGCAACCATACCACCGAAATTGGGTGGTCGGGCACGGCTCATCGCTGTAGAGTCTCCACATTGAATAATCCGATGCGATTTTGCGATTTGGCGATTTGTAAAGCACACAAACAGAGGAAAGCCGCTTTTTAAAAATGCAACAGCATCAGCAGCAGCAAGAACAACAGCAACAAAAGTTGCCGGAGGAGCATCAGGCAGTTGCCATAAATGGAGCTAAAGTACAAATCGTTGTCACATGTGAGCCGCATTTTTATGGCCACTGGCTTGGGAATTGTTGTTTGCTGGCAAAAGTCTCCGGCATGAGGAATTTATTGTGCACGCTGTAAATGGTCTGGAGCAGGCCACTGTTTGGGCATTGGCTAGTGACTGCTTTACCAACACCAACAACGCCACAACCACCACCACCACCATCACCACCACAACCATTACCCCCACTTGCAACTCATGTTGCTGCTACCATTCAAATGTGCAACAGGTCAACTTGCATCAACTCTCAAAGCAAGCTGCAGGCGCTGCAATTTTTATTGCTTTCATGAGAATCGCTCAGGGCAGAGGCCCTTAAAAGGCCGCACTTGCTGCGTCCGTGGCTTTAGCGGTTTTGAGTGGTTTCATCTGGAATGCATTGGCCAGCGAATACAAAGATGATTCAATTGATTGATTGATTGATCGATTGAACGATTCTCGCTCGATTCTGCCACTGATTACAAACAACACTCAGCGATGAGTCGCCCTTATCAGCTAAGCTCGCAAAGCTCCCAGTTAGCAGCGAAATCAAAATAATTCTGATAACTTACTGAATTTAGGCTTCGTTGAACCGGTACAATATTGCAGCATTCAGTTTGAGTAATTATTGGTAATTGTGTAACTAGTTTTAGTAATACCATACACAGTCTGAAAATGTTAGCTGAAAATAATAAGATTGAGATGGATTAAGCTCCTTATTTATAATATAGATCTATTGCACTTGTCTAGATAGATTGAGCTGTTTAATTTTATAAAACAGTAATTATCGGATACTTTTTAAAGAGCAGTGGGAACAAACCAACAAGTTTTTAATCAGATTAATCCAAATATAAAATTGGAAATGATTGGGCTAGAAAGAAAGGAAGGAAGTCAGAACTATACGTTGCAAATTAATGACAATTTGGCGAGTATTCTTTAAATAAAGACATAGTACCGATATCTGGGTATTTATATAAATAAAAGCTATATTATACAAGTTTCCATTTCCAATTCGATTTACGTTTAAAGTTGAAAATAATTTCGCATTAATTATAAATGCTTCAAAAAGTATAAGTTTATTTAAGAAAAATCTCTGTGAATTTCAGAGTGAAATAATAAAATTTGCTCAGTGGTAAGTCACTTGCGGCCGGAGGGTTTAGATTAAAATATTTTCATAATTTTAATGTTGCTTGTATATGTCTAATCTTAAGATTCAAATGTTTAATAATAATACAAGTAACAAAACAAGCAATGCTAAAGTTCTGTGTTTACACATACAAGGAACAAACACTTGAAAATAGTCAAATTTTGTTGACGTTCTACAAAAATCGACCCTGAAATTAAGAAAAGAAAAACCCTGATTTGTAGAAAAATACAACATTTCCCTTTAGAAATAACAAGGTGATAAGCCAAGAATTCGACGAATTTCTTAAATTCAGGGCAATTGTTTTTTTGAGTGTACAGTGTACAGTATCAGTACGTAAATACATAAAAGTGTTCATCAGTGTATACGAAACATTCTCATTGATTACAATGAGCTGGCAGTCAAAGTCCAAGACGCTGCCCATTGATAAGAGAAAAGGCCGCATCTGATGTTGGTCTCACTTTCTGACACATTCGTGAAATACATTTGGACGTTCAAGCGGGGCGGTTCATTCGACCTGGTTGCTTGACAGTTTATTAAACATTTCATTATGATTTTGGCGCGGAACTTGAAAAGTGCCCTTTCGCAATTGACGCTGAGTGGCTTGTGCCGCCGGCTGAGCGCACGCATCGTTGATGAAGCCAACATTGAGGTGCAACTGGCACAGGTTGCAACCTCAGCTGCTTTGACCTATCCGGGAGTTTGGTTGCGAGACAATTGTCGCTGTCCGGCTTGCTTTCACAGTAACTCGCAGTCCCGCCAATTGAACTGGCAAGACTTCGATGCGACGGTGCGTCCGCTATCCCTGCACATGGACACCGAAAAGGAGCAGCTTCGGGTGTGCTGGAGCGATGGCCATGAGAGCACTTACGAGCTGGATTGGCTGCAACGTCGTAGCTTTAATGCTAAAACGCAACGGGATTACCTCAACGACTTTTATCGGCCACCAGCGATCCACTGGTCGGGCAGAGAGTTTGAGCAGATCGCCCAGCGGTTCGATTACGAGCAGGTGATGTCCGAGGATGCTGCAGTACAGCACTGGCTACAGGCACTGGCCGTCTACGGTGTGGCCCTGCTGCACAGTGCACCACTGGACGAGGGCGTGGTGCGTCACCTCGCCGAACGGGTGGGCTTCATCAGACGCACCACATACGGCGAGGAGTTCATTGTGCAGGCCAAGCCAGGTGCCCAGAACTATGCCTATCTCTCACTGCCACTGCCGCTGCACACGGATCTGCCGTACTACGAGTACAAGCCCAGCGTCAACATACTCCACTGTGTGGTGCAGACCAAATCGCATGGCGGCAGCAATCTGCTCGTGGATGCCTTTCACATAGCGGACCGATTGCGTCGCGATCATCCGCTGGACTTTGAGCGTCTCACCCAGACGATTGTCGACTGGAACGACATTGGCGGTGAAAATGGGTGTGAGTTTCACAACATTTGGCGTGCGCCCGTCATCTGGTAAGCGATTGATGAGTACCACTAACTAACCACTAACTAACAACTAACATCCACCACAGTTTGGATGCCGCCGGCGAGTATACGCGAATTAATCACAGTGTGCCGCAGCGGGACAGCCACTTCAATGTGCCCCTGGATCAGGTGCTGCCCTGGTACGAGTCGTATGCCCGCTTTGTGAAGCTGGCTCACATGGATGCCCACTCCTTTAAGACGCAGCCCGGCGATGTGCTGACGTTTAACAATCTGCGACTTTTGCATGGTCGCACTGGCTACGATGACACTGAGCACAATTCGCGATATATTGTGGGCGCCTATCTGGATTGGGATATTATCTATTCGCGTTTGCGTGTACTGAAGAAGCGTTTGGCGGGCAGTAACTCCTCCAATTTCCCGGGCAGCTGCTCAGGCAGCTCAGCCGCTGCCTAAATGCGCCAATAAAAGTCAGCGACATATTTTCCAAGCCATTTGCGTTGAGCTCATTTGTTTATATAGTTGCCAACAGCTACAGTTAGCTGCAGCACATATGCCTGCCACGCCCATTTGGCATTTGGTTACCCTAATCGTGTACCACTTGCTCACTTAGGCCGCGAAATATCCGACGTCGCCGTCATCATCTCATCATTGGCAGTTAAAGCAGCTCAAGCGCGAAAATGAAAAGTTGTAAAAAGTCATGATGATCCTGGGCGCGTTGTTGCGGATTATTATCGTCTGACAAGTCGCTTGTGAATATGATTGACATCAACGATAGCTTGCACTATGCACTATGGGAAAAAACGACAACGTTTTATTTGTTTTGTTGGCATTAATTCGAAGCTTAAAGCCAGAGGCCTAAAACTTAGCTCGAACATTTGTATGACTAAATTAAAACTAGTAAGAATGATGTAGTCGAGTGCGCTCGACTATGATATACACTCAATCTAGCTCTTAAAAATATACTAGTTTTATTGCTAAATTTACCTTTCAAATATTTTTTTAGTATGCTTAGGAGTCCTATTACTATCGAAAATCAATGTCTTTCGATATTCGATTTCAAAACGAAGGCCGTTATCTGTAAAATGAAATTAACTTGATCTGCTCGGGATATAGGAGAACTCATATTCCAAGTTTGAAGTCTTTGTCGGCTTCAGTCTATGAGATCCGCGTGTTCATACAGACGGAGATGGCTCTATCGACTCGCCGGTTAATCCTAATCAGATATATATATATAAGGTTTATGGGTTCGGAGGCTTTTCCTTCTGCCTGTTACGTGACTTTACACAAAATCATTCCACTCTTTTTACTCTTCTTCAAATGGATTCAGGATATAAGAAAAAATTAGCGAAATTAGCAAGTTTTTACCCATAGTGCAATGGAGTAAATATATATTTATATACGTATATATGTATGTATGTGTGTATATATATGTCGTCGCCAAATTGGCCAAAAGTCGGTGCCACTTCCGCAGCCACATCCGCATTTGCATCCGCATATTGTAAACATGGAAATTTTTTGTTTTCTTGTTGTGCCTGGCTCCTAAAGTGTCAAATGCTGTCAAGTTGTGACGGCACTCAAGGATGTGGTTACTGCCATAGTCACTCAAGCACCCGCACCCTCCTCCACCCCCCTAGTCACATACCTGTGCCGCAGACACCATTCAAGTTTTGGAGTGCATTAACCTTTAGCGGGCGCTCAATGAAAATGCCGTTAATCGCTTAACACTCGGCATTCCAAATGCCAGGCGCACTGCTTCCGGCCAGCTCCGAGTGCTTCAGGCCTCATATGCCCCCCCCCCCCCTCCCTCCCCGCACTCCCCTTTCCCCATCTTCCCCTCTCCCACTCTCCTTCCCTCTCTCTCGCACTTTCTTTTGAAACTTTCTATGCCAATTGCTTTTGAATATTTTATAGAGCTCCATTATGCCTACTTATGTCTTGTTATAGTAATAAAATAAAATTTACAAAAAACGTCGCTGGGGGGCGTCCTCGAAATCGTTAAGGATAATATAGAAGGCACCACTCCACCGCCCAACTCAGAGGTCTGAAAACATTTTTTTCTTGTACAACATAACAACAACAACAGTAATAGAAAATTTGAAAAGGAGTGAGAGCAAAAGTGAAGCAGCCGGCCCCAAGCAAAGGTTCAAGGGGAAAGGGCGGCGCTCGCAGGTTCGGTTGAAGCGGCCAGGTTGACAAATGAGTGCGCTGTGCCTCGAAAATATGAAGTTGAAATATTTCATTTAATTTTAAATTTTATAATAACCAATGGTATTTAGTTGTATTCCCATCGGGATAAGATCACAACAATAAATAAAGATTAAAAATAATAAAGCCACACACAAAACATACTAAGCATTTCACAAAAAAATGAGATTAATTTATTAATTAAACGGATAACCATTGCAAAGTTGCATCATTAAAATTGCATTTGGATTTCGACGATTGCAAACAAGCTTTTAAACAAACAACTTATTTGCCATGCATAAGCTAACAGCTTATTTGACCAAGCCGATAACTACAATTTTAAATGAGTGGAACTTAACAAATATTTGTTAAGTACACAGAAATAAACGAAAGTATTCTATTTTTATTGATAACATATATACTTCACAAGTAACCGAAGCAAAGTACAAATATTCATCAATTTAATCACACAGCTTACTTGATTTTATAAAATTAATTTACAAAAAAAATTCAAGTATATTTCGTATTTTTAAGAATTCGGTATGGGTCCCTCTTATGATCCATAAACGGGTTTTTAACTTATTAGAAACAAATTATTTCTTATCGCACCAGATATATACGGTGCATAGGTATCTGAAAAATGCCCTTGAATATCAATGCATAACACAGAAGCTTTGAAATTTTCTATCTGTTTGATCAAGACTGATAAAAGCTGAACATAATATTTATATGTAATAGTTGATACAAAGATTATTAAAACTTCCCAGACTTATCAAAGGCATCATACTTATTGGCGTATTTCTTGTAGTACGATTTGCAGCCACATTTCAATATCACAATTGCTTTGTGGTCTTTACTTGATTCGATTTGATCCTCAAAAAGTATGCCACAGAACTAATTCTTCAAATAGGGCACCCATAACTCAAACTAATCCTATTGCATACTTTTGGGACCTGCCAAATGCTTAGCTATGAAAATGATTAAAGTGTTGTCGATATTCAAATCTTGCCTTACTTAACTAGTAATCCACTCAATTTACTGTAGAGCATCGCAATTTTTCTTTTGCGTTTTTCCATGTGTTGTGTTGTGAAGAGCATTTCCGCATTGCTGTGCGCCATGGGGGGCAATGGGAGCCGGTCCTGCCTCATGCCTCCTATATCAGAGTACGATTGTGTGTGTGTGTGTGTGTGTGTATATATTCCCTTAACACGCATCATGACGCCCAGACGAAAAGCGTAAAACTTCTATGGCTCAACAGCGGCAAGAGCGAAGAGAAAATGAAAAGTCTATAAAAGTTTACTTTTTTAATACTTTTCCCATTTATATATGTAATAAAAATCTTGTAAAATGCGCCTTTTTTGCACTTCACAATGCGAACCGTAAATGTATCTGTGTGTGTGTGTGTGTGTGTGTGTGTGTGTGTGTGTGTGTGAAAGTTGCACACTCCCGTTTAGGGTTCAGTGCAAAATTCTGCTATACTCGACTGCCGCCGGCAACAACTATGACTCGAGCTTGGGCTTGGTTCTGGGTCTGGACTTGGATATGGTTCTGGGTCTGAGTCTGGGTTTGGGTTTGTGTTTGGCGCTTCCTCCAATGGCTTCCAACTTTTATGTTGTAGCATTTGCTGCAACGACAACAGTAAAAGCAGCGGTGGCAGCATCAGCATTGGTAACAGCAATAGCGACAGTAACAACAACAACAACTTGTGGCAGGCAGCACTTGAAATCCAGGCAGCGTAATTGCCGCACTGTAACATACGTTAGCGATGGCGATGACGAGGATGCTTCTTAGCCCAAGCTAAGCATCTCCTGGGGCAGAAAATCGCAGCGACGACAAATGTTAAAATAAAAATATATATATTCATATACATATATATATATATATATCCTTTGACTAAAGCAGCAGTTGTAGGGGGAGGAGGGCAAGACTCTGCAAAGTGGTGGGAATAGCCACGCTTTGCGGTCGCCAACTAAGTACAACCAAACCAAACCAAACCAAACCAACTACAGCAGCAATAGCAACAACAACATTATTGAAGTAAAACGGTTTAATGTGGCCTTAGTCGGCCGGGCAACGGATACACCAAACGGGCCATTGGCATTTCTGGCCATGGCAACCAACCCACAACCAAAGCAGAATTTGTTGCTCTTTCAAAAGCTGCCACAAATCCAGAACGCATGGCCTGCGCCTGATTGGCCAACTAATCCGTTGCTGCATATTTCTGTCACACTGGAGGCTGTATGCGGAATGTTGAATGCTGATGTTGCCCCCTCTTCCCGTACAGTAGCGAATTTTTAGATTCGTCACTCTTTCCCCCAAACTTTGCTGCAGCGCATAATACACTAAAAGCTTAGTGGATGGGTTTAGGGTTGCTGCGTGCCGTGCTGGCAGGGTCGAGGGTGGAAGGTGGAGAAGATGGAGAAGGTGGCGATTTTCTTTAAATTTTTCAATTTTTCACTTTAATCAAATTAAAATTCATTCGTTACGCTTATGAAGCGTGCAAATGGAGATGCGATTTTGGGGCGTGTGCTGGCGACGTGTGTTTTCTGATTGTTGTTGCGATGCTGCTACTATTTCTGCTGCTGTTGACAGAGGCAACGCAGCTTTGTACTCGCTTGTACTGCATTGCCAGGCAACCACCCAGCCAAAGTGGTTTACCCAGCAGAGTGCTGCTTTTTATGGAAGTTTTTGCTAAGGGCCCAAAAACTTTGCTTGCCGCTTTGCATTGCGGTCTGCCGGCTGCGTCTTTCTGCTCTGCCAACTTCCTTATGCCCCCCACCACCGTCTCCCTTCTTTTGGTGCTGTGGAACGCTGCAAGGCATTTGTTGGGCAACTACAATGAATGTACATTTGGGCGTGTGCCGACGTTGGGTTGAGATTGGTAGAGGAGGATGGGTGGGATCAATTGAGTGCAACAGTAAAAGCAGCGCCTTTTGCAACCCTTGAGGCACTGAAATTTGATAAATATGCGTATTAGTTTCAGTTGCCAGCTCATAGACAGCAGCAGCAGAAACCGCAACATGGCTGTAACACGAACAGGACCAGGACCAGGGCCATTGCCAACACCAGGAATGGCCCTATTCCTCGAATCATCAAATAATAAGCTGCCCGGGGGGAAGCGAGAATGTTACTTAAATTGCGCTTTAAATGAATTTTTTATTTATTTTCTCTGCATCGAATCTTGCTGACCTCTGCTGGAAAGTATGCAGCATCATTTTTGAATCAAAGATAAATATAATTATTATTTATTTGCACCTCCTGATTGGGATGAGTATATCGATCGGTATGTAAAAAATATATACATATATAAATATATTTATTTATTTATTTTTATTATGTATTTATGTGTGTATGCATTTATAAGAGCAAAGTCGATAATGTAGTCGGAAAGTTCATTGAAAACGTGTGCCAAAAAAGAAAACAAAGATTTACTTACCTCGAACTTGTTGTTTAATCCAAAACTACCCAATAGAAACAAAACGTTTAATAAAAGTTCTCAGCAATTGAATTTCGTTAATATATATATATTAGCAATTTGTCCACTTAATTCAATTAAACTTTGTTTTTTATTTGCTTTGCTTGTTTGCATTGTTTATCGGGTGTTCTTTTATTTAATTTTTTTTTACTTTTTCAAGTACACATAAATGATATATGCATATATATATGTATATGTATTTATATATATACTATATGTATATAACTTGTTCTTTTTCGGCTTGTCTTTAATTTAATATACTTTATATTATTTACTTAGTTTTCGCTTCGTTTGACACAAAAATTGCATAATTTGCTGTAAGTGTGTGTGTGTGCGTGTGTGTGCGTGTGTGTGTTTCGAGAGTGATTTATGATTTATGTTTATTGTTAAACATATATTCATAAATAATTGTATGTTTGCATGTGCTTATATTTGCGTAAATGTATTTGTTTTTATTTTCTGAAAATACCAACTACAATACTTTTATATCAGTTAATTTGTGTTTATTTGCTGGTTTTTGATCGTTTCCTTTCTTTATATGTATTTCGATATAACATAATAATTAGCAATAAATATTGTAAATTACTGTTCGCTGCTTTTTTTATAATTTTTTTAATATCGTCTGCGTTTTGAGTATTTACAAAAATTTAAGAAAAAAAATTGCTTCCATTTTGTTTTTTTTTTTTTGATGTGTTGCTTTATATTATTGGTTATATGTGGTATGTATATTTATAATCGTATATATGCATTTAAATAGTGTTGACGTTTTTATATAAAACTGTTTTTTTCTTTTTCTGTTTATTATAATTATTATTTATTTATTAGCTTTCGTTTCGCGATACACACACAAATATAATAATAATCGTAAGTATTAGTGATAAAACGTTTCCTTCAAAAAACATTCAAAAAAATATTCTATTTTATTAAACTTGGCAAGGGCATGTGTATACATGTGTGTGTGTGTGTGTGTGTGGGTGTGTAGGATATGTGATGTTTAGTGTTGTTGTTGTTGTTGTTTTGCACTTAACTAAATCAATAGTTTTAAGTACTATCAATATGCACAAGGCGACTGAACACACAGCAATGCCACACAAAAATAAAAGCATGCAACAAATATGGCAAATTTGATATTTCTACAATTTTGACAATTTGCGATGGTTTGTTTGTGTATGTTTGCTGCCTTTATTCATAACGTACAAATACATTTAGCATATACAGATATATATGTATTTATTTTGTTATTTAATTGTATGTATATTTGTTTATTATATATATATGTATATATATATATATATAAATGATTTTAAATACCTCGTTTGACAACAAAAACAATTTGCTTGCTTTTGCTGCTGGCTTTTCAATTTCAGAATTTTAATTCATACTTTAATTATATAGTTAAGATTAAGAAAAAAAAATAGATATATATATAATATATAAATACATATATATATATATCTTTATAAATGTATGTAAGTGTATATATAAATGAAAATAAATAAACGGCTTGACATATCAACTAATGACTAATTTGGTTATGTTTGTGTCTCAGTTTTTAAGTACTTTTTAGAGTGTGTTTTTTATATTTTATTTTATATTTTTTTATATATTTTTTTATATATTTTTTTTGTCTCTTTTTGTGGAGTTTGTTGATGCTTAACGCGGAAACGGAAGTCAATTTGTCAGCTTTGGGGCACAGAAATCTTAGATATGTGTAGTGTGTGTATGTGTTTGTGTGTATGTATGTATGCCAAATGCTAGCCTTCAAGTTGTGGTCTGTGTGTGTATGTGTGTGTGTGTGTGTGTGTAGATGACTGGGCCTGACTTTTCGCGCTCAACTGGCGCACATCAATTTATATGCTAATGGCGCCTGCAAGTTATTTAAAATACATATGACACGCAGCCAGTCAACGTAGCGTTAAATGAAAAGGCCGCAAAAAAAAGTTTAATATAAAATAAAATAAAACAAAACAAAATAATAAAAAATACCAATTTATTTAAATACACATAAATGTTCAACAGACACATATGTACGCTGTGCATGTATGCGTGTATAAATGAATATGGGTTTTCATGGTCGCAGCACGCCCACATCGGCTGGCCACGCCCCTGTCACGGCTTTGCTGGCCCATTCCATTTTCGTCATGCTGACAAAATTCAGTTAACGCAAAAATCTCATTTAAATATGCATGAAGGCAGCCACAGTCGCGACCGACCCGCAATTGAATTTCTCTTTCATTTTTTTTACGTCTGTTGTTTTTATTGCATTTAACTTGCTGCAGGATACCTAGCATTCTCTCTCTCTCTCTCTCTGTGTGTGTGTGTGTGTGTGTTGATGACGCATTGTTTCCGAGCCATGTCATCGGCTAATTATGCGGCCCAGTCGTAACATACAAATCTCAGCTTAAAGCTCCACACGCAGCTTGTTAACTGTTCAGTCGATCAGCTGTCCAGTTGAACAGTTGAACAGTTGAACAGTTGAACAGTTGCTGCTGCTGCTGGAGGTATGTATAATAATATATCATGGTCACGGTCGCCGACTGAGTATGGGGCAATGACAAAAGCCCACAGACACGCAGCTGACTGATGGCAGCGAGTGGAACTGGTACTGAACCCACCCGTGGCAGGGGGGAAGGTGGGGTGGGGGGGTTAGCGGGCACAACACTGAATGAGACTGTTGTGCAGAACATGAAAATAAATTCATTAAAGCATTTATCAAGTTCGACACTTGCTGTCATATATCATGTTACATTTGGAGCTCCAGCATGTTTAATCCACGGCCCCCAGTCAAATAAATGTGCATAAGCCAACAAATATGTACAAACAAACATGCCACATATATGTATATACAGCAAATGTAGCTCTGTAGATGCATACAAAGGGCAGAGGTACAAATGGAAGAGTGGGTGAGGGGGCGAAGCGGGGGCAGGGGCAGCGGCAGGGGTAACAGATCACTGTGCAGCCTACGAAGCGCTTTTTTGTTTGTTGTTGTTGTTTAATTTGTGTAACGTGTTTCTTGTTATTGCGCGATGTTGGTTTGGCTGTCAAGTTAAAACAAACAAAAAAAAAAAAACGAGCTCGTTGACCACAGTTTGCACTGGATGACGTGCACCGCACGAGTTTTCACTGTATCTGCTGAGCGATTTGAAGATTTTCGAATGGTAGAGCAATAACAAGTCTTTAAATTTTTTGAGCTCGACGCCCTTCGCCACGCCCCTGCCGCCTGCACAGCAAACCACTCAATTTTGGTTGGGCCGTTTTTTTTTTGTTGTTTTTTTTTTGATTCAACTGATTTGCATGCATAATTCAAATTGAAAATTAAATTCAAATAAATGTGTTTTAAATTAATTTCTTCTGCTGCCGGCGTATCGATGTTGCTGCTGCTGTTCGTTTGTTTGCCTTTATTTATATTTTTATGATTTCTTTTTATCCCTTAAACAAATTGTTATGCAAAAGCGCGTGAAAATCAACTAACAAATGAATATAAACATCTGCATAATTAACTGCCCAACTGTTTACATACATTTAAAAAATGCAGCTCGACCGAAGAGCAACAATAATCATAAAATGAATGTTAAACTGGTAAATCGAGTGGCAGACTTCGACCGAGAAACTGTAGGCGACCAAAATTGATGCACATATGCGGAAAAACATACGGCAAATATATTAAAAATACGATTTGCGAAAAACGCTAGAACTGTGCTGAATGCGATACGCAAAGCCATATCAAACGAAACAAAAAATGAATTGAAGAAAGTAACGTGTGACCAGCAAATGGCTTTAAGACAACTGGGCACAGGGCTAAGATGGAAAATTTGGCAGAAATATGTGGAAGAAAAAGGAAAATGCAACTGTAAACTGGAAAAATGAAGACACCCAAATTATGTGCCAACTAGAAATGTTCAAAATTATTATTATGAATACCCCTATGCCAGGGCCCGCCCAAAGTGAAGTTCTTTTGCTTGTTTATGACATGTTGACTATGCCTGAGTCTGCGTCTCGTGTCGCGCTTTTCTGTTGTTTGGCACACGCAACATTGTCATTAAACCATTAAACATTCAACATGCAACTGTTTTCGCACCTATTTCAAACTTATATCTTTTTTTTCGTTTCTTTCGTTTGGCCTGCACAACAGTTATTTACACACACACACTCAAAAAAAAAACACAGTTTGAATTGCAATTAGCTTTTGGCCAGCTGTGGTTATTGTTCTTATCCCGTGTTGTGTAGTGTTTGTGTGTTGTAGACTAGAATGCCGCTGAGTAGCTTAACTAGAGAATTTCGGGTGTTTTTTTGATTTGGGGAGACTTCGCTTTTGTATGAGTATAATATGTATAGTTGAAATTATATATATATATGTATGTATATATATATATATATATATGTGTGTAGGTGTGTGTGTGTGTGTGTGTGTGTGTGTTAGTGTGATTAATTATAGCATGATGCCGAAAAAGGTCAGAAACTTGAGTAAACTGTACAATTTATACAAAAACCGATACCTAGCCAAGTGTATGAAATTGAAATCCGCTCTGACATATTCCGTTTCCGGTTCGATTCAACTGCATTTGCGAGCACGACGCTGGAAACGCTTCATGCGTAGCGACCACTCATCCTTCCACTCCAATACGACGGAGCTGGGTCCAATAGCCAGATAGCCCGGCGCTGCCTCCGAGTCACGTCCGAGTATTAGATACGATCTGCAAAGTAAACAGATATGCGAGAACAAGTCGAAAGAGGTGAATGAGAATCAAGGCATCAGACATTGAATGGAATCAGTGGCAGAGTGTGTGGATTGAGCGGTACTCACTTGTTCAGCTTGATTTTGGGGCACTGGCACTCGATGCTCTTGCGTGGCACAAGCAGCATCATGTTGCCACGCCCCAGCAGCGAGCTGGTCGTTCCCGACATTGGATTCCGCTTGAAAATTGTCTGTATGTTTATCTCGTATTTGTAGATCTCGTTCTGTCGCTCAATCGAGAACTTCTCAGTGCTAATGTCCTGAGAGGCGCGATCGTGACCGATTACCTTTGCCAGCAAAGCTGTTGGAGAATCGAAAATAAGTTCAACTCTATCGCATATCAACTTTGAGTTGACTTAGTAAGCATACGCACCGTAGTCCTCCATGCAAAACTTGTTCAGATTGAGTTTCTTGGGACTGGCCTTGCACTTGCCGCAATCTAAAATGGAATATAATTCATACATACCGCTCATCAATATTGGTTAAATATTATCTGAAGCACTATTTAATGCCTATTTATGAAATTGCATCTATTTACTTCTCGATTTTTACTAAACCTAAACTAAAATTAGTTCAAAATGATTACAACCTGAGTAAAAAGCAGATTGGACTGTTCTAGTCGAGAGACTGTAAAACAAATCCAAAGTCTCTAGTTCTAAGTCTGCTCTGTTTTATGCATACACTTGCAGCATTTTAATATTCAATTTTTCGCATTATTAAAGGGTTCAGGGTATCATAAACCTCGAATAGATGATTATTGTGTGTCATTTATTTTATTTCGCTTCCAAATAAATCTTATATTTTTCTATAATTACTTTTCCTGCGTGGTTGGCAGGAAAATAAACATGAATATTTTGCATTTTGAAAATGTTTAAAAACGGTTCAAATTAGTTCGTCTCTTGTCACTTTCTAAACAACAATGTTGCCATAATTTATCACACGCGAGTCGCAGCTTCAAACTCGCTAATCGCAGCTTGTAGTTCGCTACTTGCTGCTACTTGTGGCACTTACACTTTTTCATTTCTTCGGCCTGCGAGCCAGCGCCATCCTTATAGTCACCAGTTCCTCCTCCACCGCCGCCGGCGCTTTCCGCTTGGATCATGTTCGCATTTGTGGGCACTTCTGTTAATTGCAAATGTAAGCAAATGAATGTGAAACAGTTTGGAGAAGAGAAGACGAGCGAACACTTACTTATGCAGGGCGCCACATGGGAGCGCGTCTGTTGATAGCCGCGTGCACAACGATTGCAGGTCAGGCCGGTGACGCCCTCCTTGCAGGGGCACTGACCACTCAGATGATTGCAGGTCTTGCCAGTGGAACCTACAGGATGACAGTCGCAGCCTGCATACATATCAAATAACAAATGGAGAGAGAGAGAGAGAGACAGAGAGAGAGAGAGAGAGAGAGGGGGGGAGTGAGAGTCCATCATTAGAGACATGTGTCCAGTTGACAGTTAGCTGTTGTCCGCTGATTGATGACCGGAGCCAACAGCCTGCGGTAAGCTTTGCCAGGATAAACAGCTTCACATTCACTTACGTTTGCAGACTTTGCGATGATTGGGCGGCTTGGTGGCATCCCGATAGTAGCCCTCACGGCAATAGTGACAGTACCGTCCGGTCGTATCGTGCTGACAGTTGTAGCAAACGCCGCCGGAGACACGACCCGACAGCTTGTACAGCTCCAGATTGAAGCGGCAGCGTCGGGCATGCCCATTGCACTGGCACACTGAAACAAGGGTAAAGAAAGTCATTCATTAATATGTACATCAACTATAAATAATTCAATTAAAGTAGATCACTTAGTTCAACATCTTATTAAAGGAAAATTTGACTTAAAACCAAAATAATATAATTGTTAGCTTTACTTCTTGATTTAGATTCACTGTATTGAATTTAAAATTAAGTTTTAATTTATCCGTCCCGTGCTGAGGAAGTACTACAACTTAAATTAAATACAGTTTCCGGCATTATCACTATCATCTTTCTATTTCATTGTTTTTGTATTCATTAATATGTTTTTTTTTTCTTCTTTGATTTTGCTTATTTGTTTTGTAAAAGTTACTCAAATTATTGCACAGGCCTCAAAATTATATTCACTGGAAATCTTATTATATTTGATTATATTTTGTATAATTTACTAAAATAATTTTACCACTTCAGTTCGTTCTGCTAAACAGTAGCTAAGCTGCTGATGAATTTTCATTGATTCAACTTTAAGATCTTATCGCTTAAGGCTCTTTACGCTTCGGCTGCGTCAAGGAAACCTTCGCAAGGAGCTTGCTCCCTTCAGTTTGTCAGCTCGTTGTTGCTGTTTGGGACAGCATAGAATCCTAATCATTTAATGGTGCCGGCTTCTCGCTTCTCGTTTCTCGCTTCTCGCACATTTCATAAATAATTAATAATCATAAATATTTTTACGTGCTTTACTTTTCTTTGGTACAGGTTTGAGGGGCTGCTGCTGAAGCCAGTGTTTCTGTCCCTGTCCGGTTATGATTGATTGTTGGCTGGTGGGGTTGATTGATGAAACTGCAGACTAACTACAATGCGGATGGTGCGTCCAAGAATTGGAATTGGCTAGGAGCGGTGAGTAGAGTGGGGAGGACATTGTTGCCACCTGCCTTTCGCCTGCTGCGATTTTTATTGATTTTCTGACCAGCTGACCCAGGCCCATGCAGCGTGTCCTGGTCTAGCTAACTGCTGACGGTCGGCAACCTTAGCGTCAGTCAGCGTAATACTGGTTTAATTAGTTGGCCAATATCATAAAATAATTTTTAGCAACTAATTGGCAGTACTTGACTGCAATTTATGTGCATAGCGAACGTTCTCTGAACGGTTCCACTTGCCCCCGGTGGTGGCGAGGCATTAAGCGTGATTTATACAACGCAGCTCATATAGAGACAGACAGACTGGGATACAGTGCGACAGACAGACAGTCAGACAGACAGGCAGTAAGACGGACATAGCCACCATCTACATACGTATGTGTGAGGCGGATGCCCACGCAGATCGACTTCGACTTGCACACGCATGAGCGCCTGCTTTGTGAGCTGGTAACCAACCGGGCAGCAGAAGGCAAGGAGAGGACGCAGAACAGTGGGAATTGGGATGAGGATTGGAGCACAAAAGTGTCCCTTGAATGCGCCGTAGATGTGGTTGTGGCTTCAGCGCCGGCTCCGGCTCCGGCTCCGGCTCCGGCACTGGGCTGGGCTGCTGCGACTATTGTGATGGTTGTTGCCTCATAATTTTCATATCTTATGTCTGCATCATCGACCACGACGACGACGATGATGATGATGTGGCTGACAACAATGGATACGCGTCGGTCATAAGCGAGGGGACGAATGCACAACGTGGGCGGCCGTTCGCTTATTTGGCAAATAACAACAATAGCGAACAACAATGGGCAACAGCGCGGCAAGCAGCAAGCAGCAAGCAGCAAGTAATGATGCCACCAATGCCCAACGCATCCGGGATACTTATCGACGACTTTGTCCTTGCTGCCTGTGGCCAGCTGTCTCTCTCTCTCTCTCTCTCCCTCTCTCTCTCTCTCTCTCTTTTGGTCGTCGACAATCAAATGTCAACTGCTGCCTCCAATCCAACTATCCCATCCCCTCCGCTCCCATCTCACTCACTCTCTGCATCTTCACATCATTGTCGTTATCGTTGCACAAATTAAAATGAATTTTATTTCAACTTGACACTCGCCGAGTCTTTGGCCCGAGCCGTTATATCAGCTATGTGAGGCGGCTGGGAAACGAGTATGGGATACACAACGATATAAATCGCATGAAGAGATCACTTAGTTATGTCATTTAAAAAAATGGTGAAAGTTGCACCGAAAGCTGGAGAAATGAAGTCATTCACTATGCATGTTAAGTTCAAAATGTCAGAATGAAAGATTAAACAAATGAAAGACTTAACAAATTTCCTAAGGCATTTAGAAAGCTTTCGGTTTTTTCTTTCCAAATCTCATTATTTTAAAGAATTTATATTATATTATTATTAAAATTGAAAAAATCATTAAGAAATTATTATTAATACTAATAATAATAGTAATAAAAATATTCTAATAATGAAGTAAGATTGTAAATATTATAAGAATGAAATAAAAATAAATTTGTAAAATTTGTCAATTTGAAGAAATTGGCAAACGACAAACTTTTTCCATTAGGCTTAAGTTAGAGCATTTTAGAGTCGATAGGAATGATTGATATGGAACTGTAGCAGGCGCAAGTATAAGCTGAATGGGGGCAATAATGATAATAAGACAGCTAGACTGTCCAGCACACTTGGGGCACATATCAGTTATTGCCATTGAGACACACATTGTAAATGAGTTGTCTTTGTGGCCAGCAATAAGCCTAGTTGAGCTGCTGCCTCATAAATAGCGGAGGGCGGTCTGACGGCCAGCTGATGATGAGCTGAGCAGATGGATGGTGCTTTGGATATTGCAGCTAGTATACACGTATGTATGTAGTGGTAGTCACCGCCTCCAAACCTCAACCCCTCACATTAAATGCTGTTGTGTCGAAGACCCACATAAATTCCATTGGTAGACAATTGGAAAACCAAAACAGTGAAAAACGCCAAAAAAAAAAGCTTAAATCAAACCAAAAAAAAACAACAACGCCATCGAAATATGCGACGCTCTCGACGATTAGCTAAAGTAGCACATAAATTGTTTCTGGGTTGGGTCGTGCTGACGCTGTGTGGGATTAACCGAAGCATGTCGGATTGCAGTCTCCAGTTTACCATCAATATAGTCTGTAGTCTGTGGTTTTTTTTTAATTTTAATTTTATTCAGTATCAAGCCAAATACATACATGTACATGTACATGTGTATGTATGTATAAAGCGACGCACTCAATCAGCCTAATTGGAAACAATAAAACGCATTTTAACGCGAAATTTTCTTTACAGCTCATTTGATTTTCAGCGCGCCAGCTCACAACACTACAGATGTGTATGCCTTTCCACACCACTCCACACCACTCCACTTCACTCCACTAAAGTCTACTTTAGCCCACTCCACTCCAGAGAGATTGCCTCATTACTCATCTACCCATCTACACATCGCCCCAACCACTCATCGATGCATTGACTTGTGGTATTTGGGGGCCCCAAAAGTTATTGCCAACTAGCTGAGAGTTGAGTGAAAAGTTTGCCAGATCATTGGCAAAAGATTTTACATTTCGCATTTCCTATTGCCATTTCCCTAACCCCTCCCCAATAACCAACTAAACAGAAAACTCGCATCTGGCAGGCAATTTTTTGATATATGACTTTCGTGGCGAAAACAAACAAATTTGCAGGCGGGCGAGAAAGAAAAGTTCATAATTTTTGCTGGCTTTTTTAATTAAATGCCAAAGCAGCTCTCGCACCCAAAGTGCGAGTGAAAAACACACACTCAACATGCCCAAAAGAAATGTGCCAAAGAAAAAAACATGTGAAAATCATTTGGCACCATGCGAATGAGTACCAGTACCAGTGCGAGTATGAGTATGAGTATGAGTATGAGTATGAGTGCACCATAGACCAGAGACCAGAGACCCATAGACCGTGGGACTACAACGACAGCATCGACAGATAAGGCGGGCTAAGTTGGAGTCGGGGGAACCGGGGTAACCGGGTGGGCAACAGGGCCAGGCACTGGCACTGGCACTGGCACAGGCACAGGCACAGGGACCGGGATCGTTGCCGTACCGGGGCTGTTCACAAGTTATGCGACCGTTTGTTGTAAACGGCACAAAAATTATGGGCGAAAAGCAAACAGGCCTCGGCAAAGCCTGGCCACCAACTCTATAAACTGGCTACAAAATGTCTACATTTTTATTTTCTTTTCTTTTCGTATGCAAAAAACAAAAAAAAAAGAGAAAAGAAGGCGGCAAAGACTTCAATGCTGGAGTTATGGGCGAGATACTAACAAACAAAAAACAATAAAAAGGTTGAGCAATGGGTGCGGGGTGTATGTGATCGAATCGATCGAGTGGGTTAAACTGGCGCCACAGCCTTATATACATATACAACAACAACAACAACAAAAACATTCATGTGTGTTTAATTAAAGATGCAACACAAAGATTTGCTTAGATTGAAACATTGCAAAGAAAATATAGCTAAGAAGATTGAAGCTGATCGAATGCAATGTTCTCAATTGGTTATTTATTTATTGATATTAAATATAATACAAGTCAGGCGCACAAAGTCAGATTATTAATTTCATAGTCACTGTTTTAAGCTGTACAACAGCATCCTCAAATCAAAATGTATATACGGATAATAGATATATAGAAATATGTATAACAATGCTGTAAAAAGCTCAAGGCATCTAACAGAATTCATAAGGAGTAGCAGCAACATTGACCCAGACAGACACACAGAGTATGTTGACAACAGCATTCTTGCTTGTATGCAGGGCATCTGGCGGTCGTCACTTTCCTTTTTGCGCATAGCCAACGTGAAGTGAAGGCATTTTCCCGAATGGGCGCGGCAGCAACACAATTTTCACTCTTTTCATTTTACACTCACGCCGTAATTTGCACAAACACTTTGACACGCACACACACCCGTACGCCCAGCGAGTGACATAGAAATAAATTTGCCATATCGCCAAGTTTTTCCATTTTGAATACCCCTCTTCGCAGCGAGACGCGCTTTTCTCCTTTGCTATCACAAAGATCCGAATTTGCCTTGCCGGCACAAAATATTCTTTGGCCTGTCGGTATT